AGGGGTAGCTATAGTTATAACAGGTAAGTAGACTTAAAGTTGTAACAAGAGACAAAGAAGGTCATTTGGTAATGGATAAAAGAGTTAAGTCATCAAGAGGGTATAACCATTGCAAATATATTTGCAGCCAACATCAGAGCATCTAAATGTATTAAGCAAATACTAACTGATCTGAAGGGAGAAACAGGCAACAATACTATAGTAGGGGAACTTTAATACTCCACTTCCAACAGGGGATAGATTATCCAGACAGAAAACCAAGAAGGAAATGGTGGGTTTGAATTATATTTTAGCCAAATGGATCTAATACATATATATATAAAGAACATTTTACCAACAGCAGAAAACATCACATTATTCTCAAGGGCACAGAAATTTCTCAAAGACAGACCAGGTTTAGGCCACAAAACAAGTCTTAGCAAGTAATAAGATTGAAATATATGAAGTATCATTTTTTTTTTACAATAATGGTATGAAACTAGAAATCAGTAACAGGAAGAAAACTGGAGAAATTCACAAATATATGGAAATTAAATAACATACTCCTGATAAATCAATAGGTAAAAAAAGCAGTCAAAAGAGAAATAAAAAATATCTTGAAACAAATGAAAGTGGAAGCATAACACAGCAAAATTTATGGGATGCAGCAAAAGCAGTTTTAAAAGGAAAGTTTGTAGTGATAAATGCCTTCATTTAGGGGAAAAAAAACCCTCAAAGAAACAATCTAACTTTATACTTCAAAATAGAAAAGAACAAATAAACAAAGCCCAAAGGTAGAAGAAGGAAGAAAATAAAAAGGATCAGAGCAGAAATAAATGAAATAGAGTCTAAAATAATAATAGAAAAGGTCAGTGAAATTAAGTGATGGTTGTTTAAAAAAATAAACCAAATTGACAAACCTTTAAGATAGACTAAGTGAAAGAGAGAGGACTCAAGTTGATAACTTCAGAAATGAAAGAAGAGACAGTACAACTGCTACCCTAGATATACAAAGGAACAGACTACTATGAACAATTATACACCAACAAATTGGATAGCCTTGAAGAAATGGATAAAATCCTAGAAATATACAATCTACCATGACTGAATCATAAAGAAATAGAATATCTGAACAGAGCAATAATGATTAAGGAGATTGAATCCATATTCAAATACCTCCCAACAAAGAAAATCAAGTCCAGATATTTTCTTTGGTTAATTCTATGAAACAGTTAAAGAAAAATTAACACCAATCCTTCTCAAATTGTTCCAGAAAGATAAAAGAAGGGGGAATACTCCCAACCTCATTTTATGAGGCCCACTTCACCCTGATATCAAATCCAGAAGAGGACACTCCAAGGAAAGAAAACTATATGCCAATAACCCAATTGAAAATAGATGCAAAAATTCTCAACAAAGTATTAGTAAACTGAATCCAGCAGCACATTAAAAGGATCATGATCATACACCATGATCAAGTGGGATATATCCCTGGGATGCAAGGATAGTTCAACATCCACAAATCAATCAATGTAATTTCATTAATAGAATGAAAGATAAAAATCATACGATCATCTCAACTGATGCAGGAAAAGCATTTGACAAATTCAATATCCTTTCATATTAAAATTCTTAACAAGTTGGGCACAGATGGAACAAATTTCAATATAATAAAGGTCGCATATGACAAGCCCACAGTGAACATCATACACAGGTGAAAGATTTAAAAGCTCTCTTCCAAGATCAGGAACAAGACAAGGAGCTCGCTCTAACCACTCTTACTCAACACAGCCCTGGAAGTCCTGGCCTGAACAGCTGAGCAAGAAAAAGAAATAAACAACTTCCAAATCAGAAGGAAAGAAGATAAATTTCTTCTTTGTCTCTGTTTTCAGATGATATGATCTTACATGTAGACAATCCTAAAGTGTCCACCAAACAAAACTAGCAGAATAAACCTATTCAGTAAAGTTACAGGATATAAAATCAACATACAAAAATGAGTTGAATTTTTATACACTAACAGTAAATTATCTGAAAAAAAAATAAAATACTCCCACTTACATCATCAAAAATAATAAAATACTTATGAATAAATTGAACCAAGGAGTTGAAAAATCTATATGCTGAAAACTGTAAGACCTTGAAGAAATCAAAGAAGACACAAATAGAAAAGTATCTCATGATCATGAATGAGAAGAATTAATATTGTTCAAATTTCCATACTATGCAAGGCATATATAGATTCAGTGCAATCCCTATTAAAATTCCAGTGGTGTTTTTCACAGAAATAGGAAAAACAATCCTAAAATTTGTGTGGAATCACAAACAAAAACCCAAGTAATGAAAACAATCTTGAACGAGGACAAAATTGGAGGCATCACACTACCTGATTTCAAAATCTATTACAAAGCTATAATAATCAAAAGAGTATGGTATTGGCATAAAAGTAGACACTTAGACTAAAGGAACAGAATCAAGAGCCCAGAAATAAACCCTCATATATATAGTCAGTTAATATTTGCAAGGGAGCCAAGAATACCCAATGGAGAACAACAGTCTCCTCAATAAATGGTGCTGGGAAGATTGGGTAATCACTTGCAAAAGAATGAAACTGCACCCCTGTTTAACACATCATATGAATTATCTCAAAATGTATTAAAGAGTTAAACATTAGACCTGAAACTGTAAAAACCCTTGAAGAAAACATACAGAAAAAGTTCTGTGACATGGATCATGACAATGATCTTTTTGTATAAGACTCCAAAAGTAAAGGCAACAAAAGCAAAAATTAGTAAGCGGGATAACATCAAACTAAAATGCTTTTGCATAACAAAAGAAACAATCAACAGTTGAAAAGGCAACCTATGTAATGGCAAAAATATTTTAAATCACTGAACTGATAAGGGGTTTAAGATGTTTTAAAAATATATCTGAAATATTTAAGAACTAATACAATTCAATAGCAAACAAACAAAAAAGCCCCTAACATTCTGATTTTTCAAACATTAAGAGGAACTGAATAGAAATTTTCCAAAAAAAAAAAAAACAACCAATCGGAGAGAAGGTACATGAGAAGATACTCAGTATCACTAACCATCAGGGAAATGCAATGAAAATCACAGTGATATCTCACTTTGCATCTTTTAGAATTGATATTAAAAAAAAGACAAGAGAAAACAAGTACTGGTGAGACTGTGGAGGAAAGGGAAGCTTTGTGCACTGTTAGTGGGAATGTACATGGTGCAGCCACTATGGAAAAAGTATGGTGGTTTCTGAAAAAATAAAAAATAGAACTATCGTAAGATCCAGCAATCCCACTTCTGGGTTTATCTCCAAAGAAATGAAAACAGGATCTAAAAGAGAAAGCTGTTTTTCTATGTTCACTGCAGTATTATTTACAATAGCCAAGATAGGGAAGCAGCCTAAGTGTCCAGTGACAAATGAGTGGAAAAAAGAAAATACGGTATGTATTTATACAATGAAATATTATTCAGACATGAAAAGAAGGAAATCCTGGTATATGTGACATGAATGGACCCAGAGGGCATTATGCTAAGTGATAGACACAGAAAGAGAAATGCTATATGACCTCACTACATGTGGACTCTAAAAATCCAAACTCATAGAAACAGAGAGTAGAATGGTGGTTCCCAGAGGCTGGGTGGGGAGGTGGGAGAAATGGGAGATGTCAAAGTGTACAAACTTCCTGTTACAGGATACATAAGTTGTGAGGATGTAATGTACATTATGGTGACTATAATTAACAATACTGTATTATATACTAGAAAGTTGCTAAGAGAGTAAATCTTCAACTTTCTCAAAACATATAAAAAATAGTGATTATGGGAGGTGATGGAGGTATTAACTAAGCTTGCTGTGGTAATCATTTCACAATATATGTTTGTCAAGTCATCATGTTGTGCACCTGAAACTTACGTATGTTATATGTCAATTATATCTAAATAAAGCAGGAAGAAAAACAAATTAAAAAAAAGGAAAGAGGCCTAGGATAAACCCTAAAGATCTAGGCAGCAAAAACATAGCTTTGAATAAGCACCCAGAGAAATAGAAGAGAAACAAGGCGAGTGGGTGTTGGGGCAGCTAAGGAAAAACAGTTTGTATTTCAGGAGGGAGATTTCAATGGTGTCAAATGCTGCAGGGAGGCACCAGCTAATGAGGAATGATTGATTTAGCAAGAAGTAGGCCTTGATGACCTTGGCAGAAGCAGTTGAAAGATGGTGAGGGTGGAGACCAACAGGGGAACAGGGTGCCGAAATGAGGGAGGCAGAGAAGCAGGGGAGCAGCTGTGGTCAGTATGGGAAGTCAAATTCCAAGAATGAAAGCCAAGTCGAATTCCATGAGTTAACTCAGTGGTTCCCCCTCTTCCCACTGGCTTCCAACTCCCACCTCACCCTCACACATTCCACTGAAGGTGTAATCAGTGGCAGTGGCCTCATACCCTGAAATTTGATGACACACTTCCTAGATAGCTTTCATCACTTACCCACTCAGTCCCACCCCCATAACTACAGGTTGCCCCATGACTCAAGTGAGTCTCCCAGAGACCTCCCCAGTGCTAGTCTTGTTTGTTTCTAATTCCCCACTCACACACCACACCATCGTCAACTTTTAAAATGCAAATATGGTCACCTTTTCCCCTGGCTTAAACCCTTTAATGACTCTCCAGAGCATGTAAAAATTGCTCAGCCACTTTCAAATTCTGGTTCCTGCCCCTCCCTCTCCTCCTGGCTAATGAAGCCTGTGCTCCAGCCATGTGTAACTCCTGTCTTTTTCTGACTAGCCATGGTGTCTGTATTTTTAATTTTTCAAGGTGTTTGGAAGAGTTCCTACTCTTCTTTCAAGATCTGCCTCATGCACTTCATCCATTCTAATGTTTGCCCTCATCCCCTCCCTGTCCACTCCATGATCACTCCAGTCCTTCATTCCATTTAGTTCTATTATTGTTCTTGTTAACCTTTATTCAGTACCTCTTTATTGTATTATATGTTTATCACCCACAGGAGAATATGACTTCCTGGAACATGAAAACTATAATAGTCATCTTCAAATTTCTACTATTTATGAGAGTGCCTAAAATGGTGAGTGTATCTTACATTACTGTTTCAACTTGGGGGGCATTACTGGTATCAGCATCACTGCTCCACCAGTATGAGAGGTGGGTCCACAAAAGGAGTGAAGGATGCATGTGTCTGTAATCTCGTTGTCCCCAGGCTCCAGTGACCAAGGACCCTTCCATAGCAGGCTGGGGTCTTTTGTTCAAGTCCACCTGGGATATCAAATGTCTTTTTGCCATATTAAGGACTCTGTAGCTCTATTCTCAACCAAAATTTAGATATAAATGGTCTCCTTTATTGCAAAGCAGACTAGCCTACACCCAGGGCTTTTCAGTCCAATATGCTCCAGAGATCCAGAAGGAGACTCATGGCCTGGGCGTGAAGGGCATGCCAGACTGCCACTGCCTGAATGCCGTCCTACTGCGGACTCAGTGGCTGAATGAGATATTTGTTTCTGGGAAACATCAGAAGCTGCTACAGCACCAAAGAGGTCAGACTAGGTAAAACTCAAAAATAACAATTACTTCGTTTATAGTTCATGATGTGTGATCAAAATTGAGAGTTTCTGTGATATGACTGCCCTTGCACTGTTCACCATGTAAGAACTTATTCACTATGTAAGTACTTGTTCACCATATAAGAACTTGTTCGTTATGCTTCAAAAGATTGGAGACTGTTGAGAATTAGGCTTGGGGTTGATTAATGATTGTGCATTGAGTCCCCTATACAGAATTTTATTGTTGTTAACAACCATTTGATCAATAAATATGAGAGATGCTCTCTCAAAAAAAGAAGAAAAAATAAGAATTACTTCAAATTCACCTACCTTTTACTCTTTATTCCATTTATTACGTTTTTTTCTGCTTTTATCGTATACATGTCTGCTTTAGACAAATTTACAGTTGGCACAAACAATTTTTTCTTGGTCACTATTTTACAAAAATCACATTCTCAATTGGTCTGGGTAGCTTTAAAAGTTCCCCCATTACTTGTTATTTTAGTTTAATTCTTGAACTCTGATAGCAAAGAAGAAAATAACTCCATATAGTGTTCTCCTTTTGACCGGTTAGGAATGGCTAAATTCCCATTGACTAAATCGGTCCCAGGAAGTCACTGAAGACCATTCTCAGTAGACTAGCTTGTAGTGATTTCCTCTTCATTATATAGCATGTAAGTTTTAAATGTGTTTGAAGGAATAATCTGACAGGGTCAAATTTGATAATTTCTAGAGACCAGTTATTTTGAAGACACTAACTTGACTTATAAAATGATTAAAGTTATCTTCACCTCTGTGGGTTTTTCAAAATTGCACTTTCTGAATGGAACAGGAATATCTTTATGAACATGGGTCACAAACTCCATACACTTGTACCTCTTTTCCTTGAGTGCAGGTGAGGCTCTGGAAGAAGAGGGTAAGCCAATCACAGTCACCACCAGTGATGTCAGGGACTAGTCACACAAGGCCAGACCCTTTCTCCCCTAACAGCCAAAGTGGAGTATACTTCATGCCCCACTGTGTCTAGCAACTGGGGTTCTCCCCCACTGTGTGTGAGGATTAGAAACATGGGAGAAGATCAACCTCTGATGATGTAAAGAAGGTGGCAATCGGCTTGTTAAATCAACCTCGCTAATTTCACCCCTGGTGTGCGCTGGCAAGGAGAACTGCGGTTTACCTGTCTACGCGCCTGCCTTGTCATTCCTTGTTTCCTGCATTCCAGTCTGTTTCCGGCAAATTCAGGCCTCAAAGTGAGAGCTGTCACTTAATGAATTACTCAGTAGCTCCCAAATGTCCTTTTTTTTTTTGTTATACTCCTTCCTGGGTGGTAGCAATGAACTGACATAAAAGATGTGATTTCCTAAAGCCATATGCTGCTCAGGAGCCCCTTCAGAGGCCACGGGACATGGCCATGGCCATGGTGACAGGACACAAGATGTCTTAAGGAATGTGACACCCAGCAAAGACTTGGGCCATCTGCAGATGTGGCCAAATACTGTCTCAGAGAAATACTGCTTGAGGACCTTTTAGCTTTCAAGTTTCCTTTGGAGAATTCTCATTCAAGTGCTCAGACCTAATGACTTGTGAGATTTGAGGAAAATAAAGGGAATGTAGTAGAGATTTGCAAAGTTATCAAAAGCAAGTTCAACGCTGTTTTATCTCTTCAGAAGAAGGAATGGCCATGTTCTTGGGAAATCTAATTTGTTCAATGACAAATCACCCCAGAAAAATGACAACTCATGCTCAAAATGTCATAATACTAGTCATGCAATATTTTTGCAGTGAATCGTTTATTCAGTAATATTGACTGTCACCTAGAGGTTATAGTCCAAAGGAAAATATCAAATTATTCAAGGTTTTATCTGTAGTACATATATCAAGCTCAAAAGGAAACCATATTAAAGCAAAAATAAAGGTGTTGGAATGTCTCTCTGGACCCTTAAAAATGGCAAAGTGCTTTTCATATTCAAGTTAGCACTTCCAGATGATGATGACTTTTAGCTTGATGTCAGAAGTGATGCCACTCAAAGACCTGCCTGGTCTTGGTTTGGAAGGACAATTTATAGTTTCCAGTGACAGGTGTAAATGGAAAATGTCATAGCATTCAAATTTCTAGTTAGATGGAAACTATACTCTCCTTGATCCCTGACTTTCACCAAATGAGTAAGAATATACTACTGATAGGTAAAGAATCTGGCACTAAGAAATACTATTGAGTAGTCATTTGTGTGTTGTCCAAGGATGAGGTCAGAAAGGCCCAGAGATATGTTTTTATATCTTTGTCCTATAAAATAAGACATGATTACATTAGAAACCTCTTCTATACTAAGGACCTTTCCAACTAACTATATGCTCTCTTTATGGAATAGTGGGGCAGGAGGTATGGAGGGAGGGAGTCAGGATGAACATATTTATTGAATAGACTTCAGTAAAAAAAGTTGCAGGCAAGTTGGTTGCATCTTTATACCCTCACAATGAACAACTCCAAAAGAAAAGTAAGAAAAGAATTCCACTTACAATACTATAAAAAAGAATAAAATACTTAGGGATAATATTAACCAAGGAGACAGAAGTCTTACGTGTTGAAAAGTATAAAATATTGCTGAAAGAAATCAAAGCAGACATAAATAAATACAAAGATGGCTTACGTTTGTAGATTGAAAAGTTAATATTGTTAAGATGTTAATACTACCCAAAGTGTTCTATAGATTTAATGCAATCCCTGTCAAAATCCCAGTGATTTTTATTTTTGCAGAAATAGAAAAATCCATCTTAAAATTTATACAAAATTTTCAAGGACTCTAAAAGGCCAATCTTGAAAAAGAACAAAATTGGAGCTCTGATACTTGCTAATTTCAAAACTTTCTATGAAGTTACAGTAACCAAAACAGTGTGTACTGGCATAAAGACAGACATATTGACCAATGGAATAAATTAGAGAGCCCAGACATCAGTCTTCACATATATGACCAAATGAATATCAACACAAGTTGAGACTATTCAATGGGGAAAAGTCTTTTCAGCAAATGTTGGAAAACCTGGATATTCATATGTAAAGAAACAAAGTTTGACTCTTACACCATATGCAAAAATTAACTCAAAATGGATTAAACTCCTAAGTGTAAGAGTCAAAACTATAAAACTCTTAGAAAAAAACAGGGGAAAGACACATGACATTTGATTTTGCAATGAATGCTAGACTATGACATCAAAAGCACTGGCAACAAAGGGAAAAGTAGATAAATGGAATTCCATCAAAATTAAAAACTTTTGTGCATCAAAGGATACTATCAACAGATAGAGAAGGCAATCTACATAATGGGAGAAAATATTCGCAAATCACCTATCTGATAAGGGATTAATATCCAGAATATATAAAGAACTACAACAAATCAACAAAAAAACAAGCAAACTGATTTAAAAATGGGAAAAGGATTTGAATAGACATTTTACCAAAGGCATGCAAATGGCCAAAAAGCACATGAAAAGATGTTCAACATCATTAGTCTTTAGGGCAATGCAAATCCAAACTAAAGTGAGGTTCCATTTCAAACCCATTAGGATGACTATTATTTTTTAAAAACCCAACCGAACAGAAAATAACAAATATGAGTGAGGATGTAGTGAAACTGGAACTCTTATGTGCTGCTGGTGGAAAAGTAAAACAGCGTATTCACTATGGTAAACAGTATGGTGGTTCTTCAAACACTTAAGAATGAAATTATCATATGATCCAGCACTTCCACATCCGTGTATATGCCCAAAATAATTGAAAGCAGGCTTTCAAAAAGATATTTGCATAACCATGTTCATAACAGCATTATCCACAATAGACAAAAGGTGGAAGTAATCCAAGCGTACATGGACAAATGAATGGATAGACAAAATGTGGTATGACAGAGTATCATTCAGTCTTAAAAGGGAAGCAAATTTTAATATATGCTACACAGATGAACCTTAAAAGACACGCTAAGTGAAATGAGCCAGCCTATTTATATGAGGCACCTAGAGTAGTTAATTCATAGAAAAGAAGTAGAATGGTGGTTTCCAGGAGCTGTGGGGAGGTGGCAATGGGGAATTATTGTTTAATGGGTACAAAGTTTCTGTTTGGGATGATGAAAGAGTTCTGGAGATGGATAGTGATGATAGTTGCACCAAAGTTATTGTACTTAATGTCACTGAATTGTGCATTTAAAACAGTTAAAATGGTAAATTTCATGTTATGCATATTTTGCCACAATACAAAAAATTGTAGGCAATAAGGAGGCTTTTGGATACAGTCATTTACAGACCATGAGTTGTACATCTTCTCTGATAAAATAATACAAAAGTCCTCTATAAATAAGACATGAATCACATTTACCTTAGAGAAAAGAATTAATATAATGGAATTCTGTTCAGATTTCTAAATTGTAACCAAGAATAAAAACAGAAAATTAAAAATTATTGACTAATTGTTAGATTCCCCTACTTGTGTTGTGAAAGCATTAGAAGCAAAATGCAAAACATCCAGAATTAAACATGTATCTGGAATAGTCAGTAGCTAAAAGAAAATGAAGCAACAAGAAGAAGTAGATTAGTTTCCAGAGAGAATACTCAGAAAAGATTTCTGAGCTTCAAATTGTACTGACCTATTTCCAGGAATGTTGTCTTCAAAGATTCATTCTGAAATGCTGTTGGGCCATTGAGGAAATGTGTTCAGGGATGTGAAAGGCAGAAAAACAACTGATCAATATAACTTCCTATTTTTACATAAAATAAAACTGTTGATCTGATTATATATGCAAAAAAGAAAATTGATGTTAATTGAGTTACAAGTTTGGATGGCACAGTAAGACTCTCCCTAGAGCCTCAAGGAATAGATAATGTATTTTACTTAAGACACAATTGATTGCAAGATGAACAATTATTTTAGGAACATTGAAGAAAGAAAAAAATTTTCTGATTAAGCCATGACCCACCATTAATTGCAATACAGACCTTGATTACAGACATTTTAAGGATGTGAAAAATATGTATCTTAGAATAAAGAGAAACTGTATATAAAGTGGAATTTGCCCTAAGGCCTATTGTAGTATGTCTCTCTCTTCATGGAAATCTGGGCTGAAAAGAACTGTAAAGGGTGTTAGTCTAAATTGTCACACAGAGTTGTAAAGGCAAGCATTAGTTCATAGAATGATGGGAATAAAATTAAGGTCTATATAAACCCAGTTATGTTTAAACAGCATTTGAGATATGGAGTGAAATGCTTTCATTCTTCAATCCTTACTACTTACCAGTTTCCAGGAACACATCCTATGAAAATGTACAAGGACAGAGCGGCAGAAAGGGAGGATGGCAGGAGGCTTTATCAAATTTGACCTTCTAAAGATCACCTTGCATGCAGTGACAGGTGGAGACCAAAAGAGGACACAGGAAGAGAAGCTAGGAGGCTCTGAGAATTCCCAGTGAGCGACCCCAGTAACTTGGACTAGGAAGGGTAGGTGGGGATGGGAAGAAGTATACATATTCAAGAGACATTGTACAGGCGACATGGACAGGATTTGGTGATGCATTACACTGTGTTTGCTTTTTGTTTTCTAACCATCTTTTTAATCGTTTGGTAAAGACTTGTAGTGGTAAATTCCTCTGAGTTTAAACAGTAGCACAGCTTGGAAACATTCCACTATTTTTTCAAACATACATTGATTTAAAGTTTATTTTAGCAGAAATAATAGGATTCTCATATTCTGAAGTTTTACATTTAATTAATTTAAGAAAATAGACTTCTTAATGCCAGAAAGAGTTCTGTGTGTCAGATTGGCATGGAATGATAAAGACATGCCATTCTTAGAAAGGCCTGGCTTCTAGGGGCATGGAGAATTTAGTGGAGCACATTTGCACTCCCAATCACACTGCTGTGATCAGGCCCAGGTTGGAGCTTCTATATATGGATCCATGTGGCAAATTCTCACTGTGCTAACTGAATTATCAGTCCACCTTTTGGATACTCTCTAAAGTGCTAACAAGAAATAACATAAAACTCCTAGTCTAGAGGTTCTCTGCATTATTATTCTAGGGGTAGAGGTAACTGTACAGGAGATGCCGTGAGATTTTAAGCTGCCTCACTAGTTATGTGTGCCTTTGTTCACACATTCTCCTATTGTGTTTTGACCAAAATTATGAATGGCTATAAAGATAAAGGGCAAATCGAATAAAATAAATATAAGTTATATGTGTGTAGTTTATAAAGGCAAGACTTTCACGAATAAAAAAATCTACTCGCATAGTTCCTATTGAGTATAAAATTATGTAACAAATCAAAACCAAGGACAAATTTATACTTTATAATAATCACGTGTAAACATAGTCAATACAGAGGAAAGTAGGAAATGAGGGAGGCCAGTCACTCCACTTCCATTGCCTACAACTTCAGTGACATGTGATGGAGTGGGCTGAGCTTTCAAAGACACAATTGAACCAAGACGTGTAACTGGAGGGTTCAAGTTGGGACAGAGAAAAGGCTTGCTTCGAGTCCTCCAGCTAGATGCTCGTTCCATAGAGGACTCTACTCCAGATCTGTATCAATGGTTTGTTTTTTTTTACTTTCTCCTTTATTGTACTCTATTCTGGCTTTTACCTCATTCTTCTTTATTTTCTTTCACTTAATTTTTAATCTTTACTTAAGATTTAAAAAGACTTTAAGTCTTTAAGTCTTCTTAAGATTAAGAAAGACTAAGTATATTTGAACATAAGTTCTACTTGGGCTGCAGAAAGGTTTTTTTTTTTTTTGAAGGGGATTAAGCTCTTGGTCTTGTAAAAAGCTGTTATGGGTTGAATTGTGTCCACCAAAAAGATGTACTGAAGTCCTCACCTCCAGTACTGGTGAAGGTGACCTTCTTTGGAAACAAAGCTGTTACAGATGTAATTAGTTAGGATGAAGTCAGACCAGAGTAGGTGGACTGCTGTCCTACAGGAAGAGGGAAGTGGTGCAGACACACAGACACCCAAGGAGAGAACACTGTGTGAGGCAGAGACTGAAGAGCTGCAGCTGCCAGTCAAGAAATGCCAAGGAGAGCCAGCAAATCCTGCTGATGAGAAACTGGAAGAGATGATGAGAGATTCTGTGCTACAGGTTTCAGAGCAAGTATGGTCCTGCCAACATCTTCATTCATACTTTTAGAATCTAGAACTGAGACAATAAATATCTGTTGATTTGAGCATTGCAGCTTGGGGAACTTGGTAAGGCAGCCCTAGGAAACTAAGTACCCATCCATCTGCCCACCTATTCCTGCACCCATCATGCATTCATTCAAATGACATTTATTTTGTACTTGCTGTGTACTAGGTCCAGTGTACAGTAGTTCCAAGAAGGCAAAGATGAGAAACTCTGGTCCTAAGAACTCTAAACCTCAGGAGACAAGATACTATGGGCTGCAGAGAAGGGGCACTTACTTATTTTGGCGTGTGGATGGAGATGAAGGTGGGTGTTGGCCATGGAAGACTTAACAGAAAAGAAACATAAAGAGTAAGTAGAAGGCTATGGTGAAATATAAGAGTATAAAAGCAATGTTGAAAAGGAATTTAGAGTTTCCTCTCTATAACCTTTTGGCTATAAAGAAACTGATGCCCTCACAGGCTGTGATCAGCCCAGTGGCACAGGTGGAGCAGGACACAGGTTTCTGAGAAGAGAACCCACTATGCTCTACACACCGTGCGAATGCTTTACTTTCATCTTCCATACCCTCTCCTCGACTCTCCTTTGACAAACAAGGAGCCTGAAGGTCCAGATGCGTGAAGTGATTTGCCCAAGTGAAGCAACTGTCTATTAAATGGCAGAATCCAGATCAGAGCTGGCCTCAAAGCCTTAGGTCCCTGAATGGGGAGACATTCCTCAGGTTTTCGAAATTGAAGATTTAGTTTTCTTTCCATGTACCCACACTGCTTTACAATTTATAAAATATCAAATTAAAACCAGAGCGTTCCCTGTATTGTAAATTAAAATGCCTAGAAAAAAATGAGAATTAAAAAATGTAATTGTGCCTTTAGGCTTCACATTCTTTTAGCCTCAACAGAATGTACTATTCATAAATCATGTGAATGATACAGGAATATTCATGTATTCATATAAATATTGAAATTAAATTACCAGTCCTATTGTCATTGCAATCATCACAGATATGGACAAGATTTATTTCTCTTTCAAATTTTAGAGGAAGAAAAATCTAGTAACAATTATTGTTATACATTGATGTGCACAGTAACTCCTATATAAAGATGATGATTGATTCCCAGGAATATTTCCAAGCAACTTTATATTTTCCAAGTGCATATTCATAGTCTGAGAGTTCTCATATATATATATATATATATATNAATCCCTTGAAGCTTGAAGAAACAAACTGAGGACAAATAAAAATAACTCTACTTTACATAGGAGTAGTAAATTTATGGATGTTTGTCCCAGGAGGTAAGACAGTGGAAACTGAAATGGTAATGGTGTCACCATACTCTGGGATTTTTTCAGGTTGTGAGATCCATCAGTAGCTCTACACAGCAGAAACTGGGCTGAGATACTTACCCAAGTCTTGGGAACACAAACAGGAGGGAGCTACAGAGAACCTTGATATTTAAATACCTGTCTTGGTAAATCTTAGTAAATCTACCTTGTACATCTTCAGTTGGTAGCTTAGTTCTCCAGAACCTCTCGTCTGTTAACTGGAGTTATAAATCCAATTGCATTAGATTTATGTATTAATTTGGGGGAAATTCACACAATTATATATTTAACTGCTTACTGTCTACATCTCCCATTAAACTGTGAGCTTCATGAGTACAGGCATTCTGTTCATTTTGTTCACCACTCTGTACCTAATGCATACCACAGTGCCTGGTATGCACAGATACTCTGTGGATATTTGCTGAGTACATGAAATAACCAACATCCAAAGCTTATCACTTTAAAAGGTGAATAAAGATATTTTAAGGAAGAGATTATATGGTGAGTAGAGCAGTTGTTGCTAGTGACATTTATTGGTAATCAGGCAATATACAATGCTGGTTCTATTTTCTATAACCCATTATCCAATATAAACGGATTTTTTTATTTTAAAATGTTCATTTTAGATCTATTATTGGAACTTGGAATACATTTACCTATTAAAACAATAATTACAAATAGAAGTTAGATTCCTAGCCTATTCCACAGCATATGCAACAATCCAAAGTATACTTTGGATTAAACAGGCTTCTGTGGAACTAATCTTTATTTGTAAAGTATTATAATAAGGATAAAAGCATTAACAAATTCAGTTAGGAACCAGGTCATAGCACTCTGTTCTCTCCCAACATCCGCACCACTTACAGTAAGAGGAAAGCAAACACAGCATAGGGAAAGAGCAAGTTCAAATGGTATCTCCCTCACCTAGTAGCCAATTGACTTTGAAAAGTTCACCTTTGTGTTTCTACTCATATCTGTAGTATCTGTAGTAACAGGGATGTCTTTCAGCACTTGCTCCTCAGCAGGCAAGCATGCATCAACTCACCTGAAGAGGACTTTCGTTTTGTGTTGTCTTGAACCAAAAATAAAGGTGCCCAGGTCCCAGGTTGGGATGGGGCCCTTGTATGTGCATTTAAAAATCTGCTCAGAGAATCTGATTCTGATTCTTTTATCAGCTGGGAAGGTCTAAGTTATGCTGCAGTAAATCGTGAATTTCCTATAGCTTAACACATAGAACTGTATTTCTTACTTATGGTACATGTCCACATGGATTGTAATGGAGAGGGAGACTTTGCTCCATAGTCAACTCAGGGCTCAGAATATCAGTGGCTCTGCTGTCTTGTTTATTACCGCGGCGGGGCAAAGGGGAATGTCACAAGCAATTAAATGTCTGGTAAGTACCTGAATCACCTGCTCATAGCTCTTTGGCCAGAATTAGTCACATGATCCCACCTCCCTGCAAGACAGCTGGGAAGTCCATGCCACTGTGTGCCCAGCAAGCAAAGACCCTGCCTGGTGAGCAACAGCAATGCCTACACGTGGACATTGCTCAGATTGACTGCATTTAATGTTCTAACTAATGACATGCCACAAGTGAGGTTTATTACTTTGCTGTCTAATGTGGCAACAGTGCACATACATGGCCACTTAAATTTAAATTAATTAAAACTAAGTAAACTTTAAAATGCAGTTCCTCCATCACAGTAGCCACATTTCAAGTACACAATAGCCACATGTTGGTTACTCAATAGGACAGCTCAGATGTGAAGATTTCCATCACTGCAGAAAGTTCCATGGGGTGAGGCTGGTCCAGTAGTCCTTTCCCTGCTGTGCCATAATTCTAGGGCTATTCCTATCCTCTGTGCTAACAGAAATGCTCTGACAATGGTGCTGGCAATTGCTCAGAAGATTTCTACGAGGAAGGGCATTTGCCAAGTGAAACATTCATGAAGCAAAGAATGTAGGGGCAGGGCTGGAGGAAGGTGAAACATTTCAGGTTAGCAAAGCTATTGAGGGATAGACTGAGAGAATAGACATATGTGAAAAAGGGTCATGTGGGCGACTTGTGGGTCAAAAAGGAGATACAAACGGTTGTAAAAGAAAATCTGTAAGGATTATGTCATGACTAAATCAGTTGAGAAGGCAAAGAGGACTGATTACATGTTTTTACAAACAAGAATCCCATGCGGAGTAACTGAAATAACCTCCTCTACTGAAAACAGAGTAAAAGGTGATGGGGTTAAATTTATGGGTGAGGAATTTCATGTATATATAGGACATGATGCATTAAGAGTGAAAAATAGCTAATTCTAAACACTCATCTACTGTAAAGTAGAAGCTACATTATATCTTGATAGTATGGAGAATCCTGTACTATTTGAAAATGTGGGGCAACATGGTATAAAATGTTATTGAATGATGTCTCAATCCTCTTCTAAAGTTGTAATTCTATTTGGGGAGCCCTTACATATCCAGTGACCTCTGATCCTGCACCTGGTTAGGTGTGTCTCCTGAGAGCTTCCAGGTCAAGCTATTTTCCTGAGAGCACTGAGATGTTACGTACCCTTTTCACAGCCTTAACATGTGCACAGAGGGTGCAAAAGCAATAATGGGCAAAACTTCCTGCCCTTAGAACAAATCCTGATAGTGGGACAAAACTGTTCTAGCAGTTGTATTCTTCAACCCAATGCCTTTCGAGGAAAGAAAAAAAAAAAGCGAGTTTCACTAAGCATGCCCTTGATGAAGCTGCAAAAAGTACTTATTCTATTTGATCTTCACCCTTAACAAACGACTTTTAATATTTGATGGTGAAATTGGGAGTATCCTAAAAGCACTTCGCTGCATATGGGTGTACAGATTGCTCTGAGGAAAAGCATGAATGCAGCCCTTTGAGGTGCAAATGAACTAGCTGGTTTATTTTGGGGGGTCTGAGTAACTGAGAGACAAACTATAGTTATTCAGACTTGGGTATCTGGCAGACACTTTGTTAAAAAAAATGAAAAGAGCTTGCCACCTCAAGGAAAATATTTGCACTGAAATTATTTTTGCTGGTGAAGAAATTCAAGCTTTCAAGTGAAAATTATAATAATGAAAAACTTGTCTTCACCACAGTAAGCTTTTCAGTTTTCTAACCCTTAAAGGTTTTGAGTATTGTGATTTTAGCAGTCATACTAATGATGTTTTTCTTTGTGTGTGTGTTGTATGATGAAATATGTCAGTGCTTAAAAGATGTGCATAACCTGTGACCAATGCAAATTTTACAATCATAACTTAGCTCATAAGTGCAAGATACAAGCCAATGTACTATGCTCTGATGGAGTATGACAAGTATGTTGATGTAGCTTCAGATGCCACATATATCACTTGTGGAGCCTTAGTGTCCTATTAAGGAAGAATGTCCAAAAGATTTTATGAAAAGGCCACTAAAATACTCCTCCTTTTTCCTACTATGTATCAGTGTAAGACTTGATTTTCTTCATATACTTCAACCAAAATAACATATTACAACAGACTGAGTGCAAAAGCAAATGTGAAAATTCAGCTATTTTTCTATCAATCCAGACATTAAATACAAAGATTTTTTAAAAAGTAAAACAATTCCACTGTTCTCACTGAACCTTTAGGCTTTGGAGCAGAGTTATTTTTAAAAAATAAAAATATATTATTTATGCTAACATAATGGATTTATTATTTAAATGAATATTTTTAACATTTCTCCATTTAAATTTCTAAGAACATAAGTATTGATAGATATAAATGACATAGAACACCTCACTTTGGGTGTTCGGTTATTTCTGAAGAGGACCTGAAGCCAAAACATGTGAGAACCACTAGTTTAGGACTTACTTTGAACCACTAGTTTAGGAATAAAAGACTTTGGACAGTGCCAACAGCTGCTTCAACACTAGAAATACCTAAAACCTAGTACAGTATATGGAATTATAGAATTCCAAGTTCTCACTCTCTAGATCATAAGTCATTGTAGACCATGAAAAGAAATTTTCAGAGAGTTTTACAAAAATATTTCAGAACTGAATTTAGGGAATATTTATGGCTCTTTATTTGTTCCCTAAGAGTACAGTAACATTTTTTCATTTAAAATATTGTATTAAAATGATCTAAAATAAATTGTCAGAATGATATTTATTTGATAACATATTATGTTTTTCATAAATATGAATAAAACATAAGAAAATCTTGTTTAAAAAGCATAGTCGGGGGGCGGAGCCAGGATGGCAGCGTGAGTAGAGCAGTGGAAATCTCCTCCCAAAAACACGTAGAGCTATGAAAATATAACAAAGAAAACTCTTCCTAAAATAGAGACCAGAGGACACAGGACAACATCCAGACCACATCAACACCTGCAAGAACCCAGCCCCGTGCGAAAGGGGTAAGATACAAGCCCCG